ACAATAACAATAATAATATCGCATCATAATCTTAGCACTCTTTATGATGTTGAAAAATGGAACAATGTTAATATTTATACTTCACTTGAGCTCTTTTTACTCTTCATTTCTTTCATTTGTAATCCCTTCCGTTTAACCCCCTAGGTTGTACCTCATCCACCCCCACCCGCAACCAACATTGACAAGTTTTGTAAAATAAATGTATCTGCAGTAATAAATAGGCTGCTTGCCGCCGCCGCTACTGTTCGTTCGGTAAGCCTATGAAAGCGACAACACGATAGAAAAAGAAAACGGATGAAAGAAAGTCGACAACATTATATGGTAGGTAGGTGGATAAAATATTTGTAATGACAATGTCAAGTTTGTTGTACACCAACCAACAGTATACGGATGCATGGATGGTTGAATGGTTGGTTGGATGGATGGATGGATGGTCGGCTGGAAGGAAGGAAGAGTAAAGAGGTGGTGTATATAACTACTTAGAGACGCATTTTTATACGTGTTCAAGTGGTAATGATGCAGTTTAGGATTATCAATGTAAGTTCTTGGCAAATACTCATGTATGCGTAAATGGAGGGTAATACACTTGAGCAAAAGTTTCTTTTTTATGTGTGGGCGATATAATATAATAAAATACTAAACTAATATTGCAAATAGCAAGAAAGATGTTTTTATGGAAAAGTTTATGTTGTGGTATAATTTATATGATTCCGGGAAAAGTATTGGAAGAATATTTGAGTTTCAGGGAGTATCGGACACATTCCACAGCCCAGTAGATATACTGGGATTGTCTGGAAGAGTTTCATTGAAAACCGGGAACCTCAACGAATATCAGGCTTAGATGTTAATATACTGAGTGTCTACGTGTCGTGGACAGTCTGACAGAGTTTTAACCGATATCAGGTTTACAGGGTGAAATAAAAAAAATGCAACACAGTCAAACGCCATAATAATTAAAGAAAAAAATTCGGAAACAGCCTTAAATTTTAGAATAAGTTTAGATTTGTTCGAATTGGTCAACTTTTTGGAACGAATTATGGACTTCAAACGGACAATAAAACCGTCACCCGCTGCCCGAATGTTACTCTGCGGTATTTTGCCCCATTACCGGCCAAGTGCTTGCTTGAGGTAATCGACACTTTGGTATTTTTTAGTGCCAACCTTGCTTGCCAAAATACTCCAGACACAATAGTCCAACGGATTGGTATCCGGAGATTTCGGTGGCCATGGAAATGAAGACATGAACCTCATTTTGTAAACATTCTTGGGTGGCTCGCTCTGAGTGCGATGGTGCTGAGTCCTGTTGGAATGTCCAAGGTCTGCGACCAAAATGTTTACGTGCCAAATGCTTTAATACACCCCTTCAGAGTATTTTCGCGATAATATTCGGCATTTAATCTGATGCCACGGTCGATTAATACAAGCGGGGAGCGCCAATCGGCTGTTATTGCGGCCCACACCATCACCATGGCCGGCGCTTGAGTTCCGGTGGCCAACCGAAGGTCCACATTTTCAGGTGACCCCCTTGGACAAGTAAACAGGATCCTTTTGTTTGTTTACAAACTGCTGGACAACGAATGTTTTCTCATCGGAAAAAAACAAATTCGGCAGTACACAACTTTCGGCCAAGCGAAGCAACTCTTTAGCTCTTTTGAGTCTATTTTGTGCAAATTGAGAGAAATCCAACACATTGGTCCCTAGAAGCCTTAAAACGTCCCTGGCTGCAATGGCCTAAGCCCAAAATTGCATGTCGCTCATATGTCAAAATTACAAATATACACTATTTACTTTATCTAAAAACTTCAAGTGAAAAATTCAACAAATATTTCTAAAACATTCAAAGTGCGGCAATTAGTAGTAATATTCATATTGTTTTTTATTACTAAAACAATTGCAATGAAAATTAAAAACGGTAGTTTTCCATATTTGTACTAATTTACATACAAATGAAAATTACAATTAATGTAACACGATATCTGACATACAGACAATATGTACGAGTGTACGCTATGAAAAGTAAGCTGTGTAAAAAATGCAATTAGAATAATGTAATTTCTTTTTTCAGAAATACACAAATTTATATTTTGCCTTTGCATGTTAATTGCAATATCATATTGTGATTCATGAAACAATCAAATTGTTTGCCAAAATAAGTGAAAGTGTTTTGAAATCAATGAATTAAATTATTATTTTTTTTTCAATTGTTTTGTTTATTTAAAAACTCAAGTTGGGTAGAGTATGCCTATTTGACAGTCTAGTCCCCAGCTAGAAAATAGGACTAGAGGGTGATAACACTATTTTGTGTCTAAATGCAGGATACCCAGTTCAAACAGAGAAGTGCAATATCTTACCAAAGATAATCCAGTTGTTAGCTGCGAACCAACATCGATTTTTTGTCATGAGGCAAGGAAATCTCTTCCAAAAATTAACATCCTTCAATGCAGAAATGGGTGAAAAAAAAAAGAACAATAGGCTTATTCAGGTTAAAAGTTCTTCGTTTCTCCGTTAATAGCATTTATTATAGAGCTCTGATTACTACGGTATATAATTCTTGAGCTATTGACGTTAGCATTCCCTTAGTTCCTTACATTTCTTATAGTTTTTAAGACCTAATTCTGGTAAGAAGGATCTCAAATCGTTCGAGCAATGGGAAAACACTGTTGTCTTCTCACAAAGTTATTAAATGAATGCCTAGGAGACTCTAGGGTTCATGATTTAAAAATATATCCGAAGGTAAATGCGATAGATTAAGAGTAGCCGAAGCAAACTCGATTTACCATGACTCTTTCAGATGACCTAAATTTGTATCGCACCTGAATTTAAGGTACGATACTTAACTTTTGACTAGCCTTTGGTATGCCCATAAATTAGTCCTCACATCTCTTAATTCACTTTGCACGCCACTAGTCCAAGTATTCGAATTTCTAAATTTGGATCCATACTACCCAGCTACATGTATTGCATGGTTACAACTGACCCTATGATAGATCTTATTCCAAAGAGAATTTTGTGAATCGTCATTTTTATTTAGCATGTAAAATACATAAGATTTTATTTAAAAAAAAATTGATGCACAGGAACTTTTTTTATCTATTAATGGGTGGTGGTAAGTGTTAAGCCGCGACCGAAAGTCTACAGTGCATGAAATATTTTTTCAGAAGAAATTTTTTCCTAAGCCAGTGTTCATTCTGTCCATCGTCGAAAGTCTAGGCGGAAACCCCATGAGAAATTTGCATCAAATGGGGTGTTACAGGTGTGGGAACAATTCGTGTTTCAGAGGTAGGAATTTTAATACTAATTTCAGAACAGGTGGAGGCGGGAACGGATACACGAGCATTTGAATACAAAATTAAGGTTCCAGTTCGCATAGACTATCTAAACCGATTTAGGAGTTATTAAAATTCCGATTTTTTGTAGTCGTATTTGGAATAAAACCCTGCAGAAAATCGAAAAATGATCTATCATAGGGTTTCATTAAATCTGTGCCAAATTATTGCTGATGTTCAAATCTTTCTAAAATGCTACAGTATGTGGTATTAGCTTTCCTGGGCATTTGACATTGACAGCATTTTATTATGCCGCTGCACCGGCAAGACCTTGGTCTCGTCGTGTAGATGATCAACGGGTGTCTTATGGGGTAACTTTTTGCGGTTTTTGAGGTTGTAAGGGACCAGATTATTTTTCGATCCCCAAGTACTACCTAGCAGTGGGATGCTTTTAGCAAACCCATAGATGATGGAATCTAGGAATCTGAGAAGAACGTTGGAGTCCCACCTACCAAATGACAAATGTCTCCTATTGGATAACACACCTGCATTGTAGGTGTTCAATCGTTCCCCAGCTTCGTTCACATTGTCTTCAGTATTCAGGACCACTGCTATCTCATTTTGAGGTCAGAAATCCGATACTACAGTGGCCAGATAATATGCCTTCGCGATCTTTAGGACAGACATGCTAACTAATATGAGGTAGCAGGATTTTCTACTCGAGACTACAGGCCAGATTGCCTTAGATACCTTTGAAACCGGTTTCCAAGTGCCATCTTATGTCAGCTTATTCGTGCAGTGTCTTATCGGGAGTTTTGTTCCCATAAGACAAAGTGAGTCGACATTATTTGGACACGCCTTCCCAATTTTTAGGTGAGACCTGCTAATTAATAGGAGGCATCAGGATCTTCTACTCGAGACTACAGGCCAGATTGCTTTAGATACCTTTACAACCGGTTTCCAAGTGACATATTATATCAGCTTCTGCCATGAGAGCGTTTTTGAAGCAGTTGATATGTCTGTGTCATGAATAGTTAGAGTAATCGGTGGGGAACATCTCGAGCTAATTCGTCAGCCATTTCATTTCCCAAATTTTCGACTTTGAGGTATGTCCAACATCAACCATATATTTTAATATTCAAAACGGTTCGAAACCCCATATCAGTACATTCAGGAAAGATATTGACTATATGGTTACAACTTGGCTACATCTATTTTCTGGACCCTGTTTGTTTTATACCCTACACCACAATGTGATCAGGGTAATATGTCTTTGTGCATTTCTTTGTAACAGGCAAAAGGAAACGAGATAGACCCACAGTTCCTTTTGATGATCTGCATAGAATCACATTCTGAGTCGATTTATACATATCCGTCCGTCCGCCTGTCTGTCCGTGTATTTTTGTAAACAAAGTACATTTCGCATTTATTGCCCTATCCAGATGAAAATTTGCACAAAACATTTGTTTAGAGAAATTTGGAGATAATCGGTCAAAATTTAGATATAGCTCCCGATTTGCCTTTTATTGTGCACCAAACATGTAATATCAGCCCGAATAGTATGCAATTTTGCACATACAACCAAATTAGGCCTGAAAATAAGTATGCCAAATTTGTCCCAAAAAATATGGCAATATGGTTAAAGTTGCGATTTTCCCACCTTAAAGTGGACAAAAAAGAGGAAATCAAAAAAAAAAAAAAAACTAAAATTCTAAAACAGCTGTTTCAACTTACCGTGATGTTTGCATGGATGTCATAACGTTTGCCACTCTTTCCGATAAAACGACATGTTAACTCATCAACACTGGAGTTCAGTATCTGAAAACGTTCGTGGTTCTTTGTGAAGATTTTTTCCAATGTTTTTATTTCCAATTTCAGGGTATTGAGACACGCCATTGTGGTTTAGGCAACGACGATAAATACTGCTACCAAAAATCGCACGCGCGATTTTACGCACTGAATAGTTAAAGGCGCGCGCGTGTTGTCACCTCGTATTTTTTTGTTTTCTTCGTCGTTGCGACAAGACAGGCAAAAAAGTAGGACTGTTACCGTAGCCTAGATGCACAATTATAGAAAAGAGGTAAAATTAAAAACATTATTTCACACATTTTTTTCTCAAAGATTTTAATTGATGGACATCTATGAACATTGGTTGTAAACACCGTTTAGATTGTGGTAGGGTAGTTTAAGGCGATATTAAGTCTGTTTTTCATTTCATTTTTTGTCTTCATAGCCATCATTGCTTTGTCACACACACACATATACACACGCACAAAGACTGCAAAGTTCCATGAAACAAATGTTTCATCATTTCTTTTTCACTTTTTGTGTTTTTGTTCCACCAAATCGTTCTTTGTTGCAGACAATAATATTTTTTGTCAGTTGGTTTACTTTGAACGTTGTCAAGTCGAGAGTTTGGTTTTCATTTGCACTTTGTTTTTTTTAAGTTGATTTGTTGTTGTTGTTTTATTATTTCTCTGTTCAATCATGTCTATGTATTGCGATTTACTGTTAAACGCGTAGGTCTTGTCATTTTGTTGTTGCGTGGATGACGATGATGATGATAATAATAATGATGTCTCTGCTTTGAGGCTGCGTTGCGCAGCTGCTGCGTGTATCCAAAATGATTCCTTGTCTTGATGTGTGCAGCACTACCAAAAGAGAATACATAAACAGTACTTTAACTTGTTATTGTTCGAAATTGTCACAAAACAGAAGATTGCCAACAAAAGTTTAGTTGGTTTTGTTTGTGCACTGTCTTATCGGGAGTTTTGTTCCCAAAAGGCAAGGTGAGTCGTTATTATTTGGACACGCCAGAGCATACACACACGCCTCATAAAACATCAACTTTACTTTTTGGGTCGCCCTCGTCACCATCGATGATGGCAAGTTGTATGTCGTCTCCCTTTTTTTTCAATCGATCTTCCGCAAAGGAAACTCAGACGAGACGACAATGGCGAGAGGTGGTACGCTACCTGCGTCACGTCGTCGAATAAATTGTACTTCGTTAAAATTTATTAAACGTGAATTTGTTGTATTTTCGTGTTTTTGCAACACTGACTGATTTCTTATTGGATATTGTGGGGGAAAGTATTGCCAACATATGTAACCGCAGAAATAGGTCTTTCATTTTTAAGGGAAAATACATTTTTTTACTTAAAACTACATTACAAAAAAACCACTGCAGTATTTCACAAATTAATAAATAAAGTCTGTAAAATAACAACAAAAAAATCACACCATGGGGAAAACACAACATAGCGAATGACGATTTCATTTGCTATCAACGAATACGACACAGCAAAAAATAACAAAAACAACAACAGAAATATCATCCATGTACTCCACCATCAACAATACACCAAAAACAACAACAACGGTACCAAGAAATCAACGAAACCAATGTTCGTCGCTCACGCACACACACAAAGAAATGAAATCTGCAGCCACAGTCTGGATGGCGAACAAGTTTTTTGCCAATAGAAAACTTTTTTGTTTGCGAAAACTTCCGTAATATTTTTCAAAATGTTTTACTCATTTGCAAATATTTGATTAATATGTTTTTGTTTTCGCGTTGGCCTTTCCGTGGCATACACTTTTGTGCAATTTTACCTAATTTTTTTGTTATTTGTTCGCTTTTTTGTAATTTATCAAAACCCGATGCTTCTGGCGATTTTAAAGGAAAGTGACAGAGTGTATAGCCGAATCATTGTGGTCAACGGCGACAGCAATAATAAACGCATGCATTGCCAACTCTCTGGCTTTCGTCAATATATTATGTGCATGGGTGCTTCACATGCATTAATTTATGTTATCGATAAGCCGTTGTTACATTCAATAAAGAGGCACATAAAACTGCATTTACCACAAAAAAACTCAAGGTGCCAATAAAAATTGCAATTTTAGGCATTATTCCAAATTGTATTGTACTTTTTTCTTTAATTTCCCATTTTGTTAGTTTAAACATAAAACTTTAAATGTACAGTACTTAGTTACTATATATATTTTTTATTTGTGTATTTATGTCAATAGGCCTATTCGTATGTAAAAACTGAAGGCTTGTTTCATACCGTATACACGAAAACTTTAGATAAATTTTACATTTCAAACGAATATATTTGTCAATATAGAAATAGGTATTATATATTTTTATTGAAATATTATATTTGACAGCAAAGTTAAACAACAACGTCGAGTTTCAAGCTGAAAAATATCTGAATCACCGATTTTAGACTATGGCATTAATTCTATCATGATAATAACACTGCAGATTGAACCAACAAATAAATATTTTTAAATAAAAATATGACTTACAACATAAATTTTTTTATCATATATTTTTATTTATTGTATATTTTTGACAACAAAGGTGGACATCAGCAGAGGCTCAATTCTTGTTCTATAAAAATGTGAAATGAAGACTTTTATAAAGGAAAAAAATGTCAAACAAAAAAAAATATAAAGAAAATATCATTCATTTCATATTTTCATAGAACAAGAATCCAGCCCCAGGTAATCTTAAGTTTCAAGTTGAAAAAATATTTGCTTTACCTATTTTAGACTGCGGCATTAATTCTACTATGATAACAACACCGCTAATTGAACTGACTAATAAATATTTTTATATGAAAATATCATTTACAACATTAATAACATTAAATTATGAAGTATCGAAAATAGTTCTATTTTGAATTTTATGCGGCGCATTTATTGTGGTGTAATAACGAGAAATCCATTGCATGTGGGTTGGCAACGCGGCACTTTTAACGGAACTGCCAATCGCCATATACGATCAACAAAAAGGCGCAAAAGCTTGGCGTTTCCTTTAGAAAAAATGCAAAATTTGTAGTTTGTCGCGAAATTTCATACGAGTCGGTTGTATCTAATTGGAAAAATTGAAATAATAACCAAAATCAATTAAATTAAAGTGAAAAAATTGTAAAAAGAGAAAAAAATACTTGTTCATATTCAAATTATTTACGGCAAAAGTCAAATAAATATAGATTCTTATGATATTTAATAGAAATTTCATTGGTTAAAAGTGTTGTGAAGCTGAGCTGTGGTGCAATTGCTCATTGAGATGAATTTCCAAGTACCTCAAGGAATTTCTTCTGATGTAATGTAACTTTAAACAATTGTCAGTGGTTAAATTGTCAAAAGAGAAAGAAATATTGGTTCATATACAAATTATTTACGACAAAAATCAAGTAATTATAGATTTGTGAGTTGGGATTTCTTTGGTAAAAAATGTCCTAAAGCTGAGCAGTGCTGTAGTTGCTTAATGAGATGAGCTTCCGAGTGCATAAAGACTTGGCTTTTGATGCAATATAACTTTAAACAAATGGAAATGGTTATATTTTCTTGACTTAACCAACAATCCTTGGCCCCAACATGGATATGCACACCAGCACTTCTTCATACGAAATAAACCGTGAAATGCAATAGTGTAATGTTGAAAAACTATTTTTTATTCTTAAGAAGATTGCAATACGATTGCATCGTATAAAATAACCTAAAAAGAGTAAGAATTCAAAATTAAATTACAACTCAAACGCAGTAATTTTTCCAATTAGTTTAATCGGTAAAGTCGTGGTCGTGTTTTGTTTCCGTCGCGTCGCGTCGCCGGGAAGAAACAGAATCCTTTAATCTTAAATGATTTGGCTGTGCAAAACATTTATTATTAAAAATGTCCTATGAAGTTGGTCATGCCGTCTTGAAAGATCATGTGAGATCCTATTAAGAATGCGAAACATAAAGGAACACCGAAATGAAATGTGCAGAAAACGCGTTTAAATAACCCATCTTGGCCAAGAAGAACTCAGGTCGTTAGGGACCATCGTGGGAGAATCCGTCAAGAAAATAAAGTGAATTTTAATAAAATAAGTTAAGCCAAATAATCTGACGGTGAACGTACCTTATAAAATGCCAAATGTTTTAACTTTTTGCAAACGCGAATGAATCGGTAAAATTTTGATCGTGACGTTCTAACAGTCGAGCCGATGAAGAAATACGTTATACAAAAGTGTGTTAAAATCGGTTGCAAACAATTAAAAAAACTCAAGTGTCCTATAATGTGTAAATTAGAGTTATTCTGAATCGACGTGGAAGATGGTGGTGTTTGCGAGATTCAAAAGGTATACTTTCTATAATTAGTTTGCTTACCATACTAAATCCCTAAACAATTTAAATAACTGCCTTATAGTTTAAACATCTTCATACCGGCCACAAAACTGCTGTTTTTTAATAAACTGATGATACTGGGTAATTATAATTCTGAAAACTATTTCCTCAGTATGCATTTGAACCTACAAAAGATACTGTTTCGAAAAAGGAGGTATAAACCCCGAGTTTGAAACCATTATTTTACCCATTCCATATAAAAAAATTTGGAACAATTTCTGAATATAGGGAGGTACCTCATTTTCAATACTATCCTCGACACAATACAAACTACTGTGTCAAATTTATAATGTGGGCTAATCGTGAGCAGACGGGCAGACATCGTTAAATCGGCTTAGAATTTTATACTGAACATGGGGTCTTTTATGCTTTTTGCTTTATCGGGACTGCGACGAATATTTAGAGGTGCTACAAAAGGGATTGACAAAGTAAATACATCCTCCGTCCATGGTACCATAAATTCGAACTTAAATGCAGATAAACCAATAGAAACTGCAATCTACTACGTCAGTATCGAATGCGAAAATTAACCCAAGGAAGATTTTATTTACAATCCCCAGACAAATATGTCATAAGCTCAATCCTTCTTCTTTCTCACTTCGCAAAATTCTAGCCTATTACAAAGAACATAGCAATTAAGATGTACAGCTCAAATTGACAAAAAAGTAGAATTTTGTGGGAAAACCATCTTTGAAAATTCTCAATAAAAATTCAATTCAAATTCTTAACAGTTTCACACATTTACATTTTTTCCAGTAGTCCACCAAAAGGTGGTCAGGCCGTCCTGCAGGTCGCATTTATTGTCCGATCCAGATGAAATTTTGCACAAATTATTTGTTTGGCGCAAGGACCCTATTGATAATATAAAAATTCCAAATAGTATGGAATTTTGCACATACTAGCAAATTAGACCTGAAAATAAGTATGTCAAATTTGATAGAAATCGGTTCAAATATAGCTATAGCTCCCATATACATTATTCATCCGATTTTTTATTTTTGTCCTCCGCAGCTGTAATATGCACTCCGTATCAACAATATTCTGGGAAATATATCAAATACCTAGGCAAATTTAGTCCTATGGACTTGAAATTATAATCATAGCTGGTATGATTTAATTCTCACAAATTCCTCATAAAAACTTTTATTTGTTATGTGAATCTCCACTAAATATACAAAGTGGTGTAGGGTATCATAAGTCGGACCCGACCAACTTTAAGCCTTTTAATACTGGTTTCTATTACAGAGAGAATTATCTCAATACCATATAGACCAAAGATTTCCCCCTGTTAATTCAATTACTACTGCTTGATGCTACTACTAATGATGCAATTTTGTCACGGACATAATTTCGATTGTCCCTTGATTCAATTATCTGAGATCCATCTTCATCTACAAAAGAGTATTAATTTTTAACAAATTATTTGTAATTCAATATTTTAGTATCATCCCTTTTTAAAGATTTTCAATTTCCAGACAAATTGACTGATATGATATTGGACAAGACATAAATATATGTTTTAATTTTAAAGGTATATTTGTACGTGTCCCCTTTGGAGATTGTCTTACCAAATTAACGAGTTGTTGTCAGATTCTACATTTATCTCTTTGATATGTGGTCCCCTACTTATCAACGCCACTAAATATTGATAAGCCATAAAATTCACTAAATAACAATTCTGTGTCATAATGGCCCCTTTATACTCAGTTGTCTTCACTATATCTTTAATTTGAAGACTGTCTTTAAATAATGTTCTCACCCTCTTTGGTAATTACTTACATTTCGTCGAAATAAAGAGAAAACTGTGTAGAAATAGTTTGTCTAATGTATTGATATTTATTTATGTTTCTTTTATGTTTTCTATTAATTTAAGTGGATTTTTGTTTTTGTTTTAACTAATCAATATACTTATAATAAATAGAAAGGAAAACTGTCTAAATAAAGTTTAAATTACATTATTACAAACTGATGAAAAACTATGAAGATTGTATTTTACGTTAAGATCCATTTAATGAATGTTGCTTTGGAAAATTTTGGTTAAATCAAAGAGACGGATCCAATTCAAATTGAAAAAAGCTGTTTTTGCTTGATTATCTTTAGATGATATTGCCAATATTTATAGAAATGGAAAATTTATTTAAAGACTTTCGACTGATAACTATTGCAACTAGTTAGAGATAGAGGAAAAGAAGGTATAGAAGTTCTGTGATGACGGAATGGTTTTGTTGTTGGTTTTTATTCTTTCTTTTTTTCTCTATTTTTGTAATTGTGGTGAGTTTCATTCTAAATACAAAAGATCAATATATAAATTATGTATTAAAAAATTGTTTAATTACAAATAAGAACTTAAATTATAAGACCCAAAATGTTGGTTCTCGCCTTCTTAATACCTTTGATTTGTTGGCGTTGTTTTGCATGAAAGGGAAAATAGTAAGAAAACAAGTGTATGTTTGTTGTAGATAAATACCAAATGATGATGTTTATAAAAAAGTGTCAACAATAGTTTGCGCCAGAAACTCAATAGAATTTTTCATTTAACAATTTCGTGATTTCCACCATAGTTTCTATCATTTGGTCTATCTGTCTTTGTTTGCAGAAATTGGCTTCTTTACTTATTTTCAGACTATTCGAATAGTAATGTCTATAAAGATTTCTTGCATAGCCCTTTTAAGTGTTGGTTTTTTGTTTTATTGTTTATATTTATTACTATTCGAATTTCTTTAAATAAGCATACATTTTTGTTTAATATATGTAAGTTTTAAATACCACAGTCTTTCAATTAATTATTATTTTTGTTAATTATTTTTTCTATTTAAAGATCTGATCGTGGGGTGTGATCTTCTGTGGGTGTTGCTTGGGGAACTTCTTCCTTTTCGGCCTCTTCAGTTTTCTTTTCAGTTACGGGGAGTTCAACTTGTTCTTCCTTGTTTGTGTCCTCTGTTTGTTCGGTGACTTTTTCTGTTTCGTTGTTACCATCACCACTGCTACTGCCCTCTTCTTGTTCTTGTTCTCCATCTTCCGATTTCTTTTCCTCACCATCCTTCTTAGCCTTCTTTTTGTCCTTCTTGGCTGGCTTGACCTTGGGCTTCCAAAGATTGATTTTGGTCACCAAATATTTAACTTCACGATCTAGTGTGGACATTTTATTGGTAATTTCCTTAACGGTGAGACGAACATTTTCATAACGCTTCAGCTTATCTTGGGCTTGTACTTCGGTTTTTTGCCATTCGATTGTGTCTGTAATCACCTTGGAGAGTGAATCGATTTCAACTTGTGTGAAAACATCCTTTTCGGGATTTGTGTCCTTGGTCAAATTCTTGGCACTGTTAAGGAAACCTTCGGCACCCTCAATCATTTTCTTCAAGGCCTTTAGGGCTTCGGGGCGTTCCTCATGTTCCCAATGGCGAGCCATAAATACATCGGTCAACTTTTTCAATGACTTGAGTTTATTTTCATACATTTCGGGTGTTGGGTTTTCAATGTCTTCATACAACCAGTCAGAAGCAGCGGAGCATTCAGCCAAGATCTTTTCCTTTTCCTCTTTGGTGGCACATGAGGAATATTCGTCTTCCTCCAATTTTTGTTGAATATCAATGATGTGGGACTCCAAGGCATTGAAGGAGGATTCCAATTGATTTCTTAGGTTTTCGGCCTTGTTGATGGCATCAAGTTTTTCAGCAGCCTTTTCATAGGATTTACCACTCAAGGGTTGAGTGAACTGCACAGTTAGACTGTGCGCCACTGGCTCCTTGACAGTAACAATTTTAACGGTTTCATTCTTTTTGGGGGCGTCAGTCTCACTTGGTTTGGTTTCATTCTTCTCTTGTTCCTTGGTCTTGTCATCTTTACCACCAGTTTCTTCACCTTCAGTGGCATTTCCACTGCCTTCTTGAGCGTTTTCTTCCTTCTTTTCATCATCCTTATCCTTGGAGAATAATTTACTAATGGTACTGCCTAATTTGGCCAATGTGCCTTCATCATCTTCTTCGGTTTCAATTTTTTGTTTTTCATAGACATATTCGACGCCAGTACAACGGAACAAACCCGAATCGTCCAAAGTGAAGAAGGCCTTAATACCCTTGGCATCGACAGATTCATCTTTAGTTTTCTCCAACAATTCCTTGATTTTTTGCAATTCAACGCGAGAAATCTTCAAGCTACCCACAAAGGATTGCTCTTCGGCAGTCAAATGATTCAAATCACCATAATGGACAAAGAAATCAAAGTCTTCGGTGTGTTTGTTGAAGGTAATCACCTTCTTTTGGGGATAAGAGTTCATTAGGCCAAACAAAACACGTTTAACTTGTCTGACTTCAGCACCCTCTCCGGGGTCACGTTCAAAGGTAACTTGAATTGGATAAAGGACAGCATCCTTGACAATGAATTTCTTTACCTTAAAACCAGTGGCCAAATCAGCGGCCTTGTAGACAGCACCAATAGCAGCAGCTTCATCGGCATTCAAGCTCTTGCCCAATTCTTGTTTGATATATTGTTTCAAGGTCTCTTGAACTTTGGGTACACGAGTACCACCTCCAAACAAAATCACTTGAGAAATAACATCCAAAGTCAAGCCAGAGGTAGACAAGGCCTGTTCCAGGGGCTTAATTACTCTGGGCCACAGATCAGAGCAGATTTCTTCCAACTTTTCGCGGGTAACTTGCAACTTAAAGTTTTGATCCTCAATTAAATTTTCAATTTGGGCATAATGATCGTTGTTGGCGGACAAAACATTCTTCAAACGACCAGCCTCCTTAAACAATTTAGCCAAGGCTTTGGGTGATTTAGTTACATCGGTGGTAGTCTTCTTCATGGCATTGAATTCAGCGGCCAAATAATCACGCAATCTCAATTGAATTTCCAAACCACCCAAGGTACGATCGTAACCAACACCCAAAACTTGCACAACAGGATGTGTTTCCTTGGTATGTTTATCCTTAACCAATTGATAGCTGACGACAGCACTGGAAGTGTGACTGGCACCCATATCATAGAATACATAATATTGAGCGGTTTCATTAATACCCGATGGATGGAAAACGCCATAATTCAGGGCAACGGCAGTATAATCGTTGATCAATTGTAAAACTTTCAAATTGGCCAATTGAGCAGATGTCAATAGCGCCTCACGTTCGGCTTGACCAAAGTAACCGGGTACGGTAATAACACATTCGGTGATGGGTTGATTTGTGGCTTCCTGGGCAAATTCCTTGGCCTTAACTAGAATTTGTGCAATCAATTCTTCAACCGAGAACTCTTCGGTATCACTTTTCTTAAAGATGACAGTGTTGCGTTCAGGATCGGCAATGATGTTGTAGTAGGGAAAACGTTTTCTGTAAGAAAAATAACGATGAAACATTTTTAATAAAGGAGTCGATGGAATAATTGGGAAGGGGTTTTAAAGATTTGCTTGTGGATTTTAGGTTGCTTTGATTACTTCTTAAATATATTTTCAGGTTTGTTTGTGGAAAGTGGTATTTTTGTAAAATGATTTCATCTTGGGCCCTAAAAAATACTTGAGACTTATTCGAGTATTTTAAGACTTATTATGGATTTTTATAGACGATTCTGCTCACAAAATAGCTGATATTAAATAACTTTTTACAGAAACGCGGTAGAATTTTTTGTGAAATATTTCACAATGAATCGGAGATATTTTGAGGAGTACTTCTTGAAGAGTCCTGTCCTACGAACCCTTTGGTATTTAGGCTGCATGATTTTGAGGATTGTGAATGTCGAGTTCACGCTCATATATGCAAATATTCACGGTCTTATAAGTAATCAAGAATAGGTATGATATTCAAAACAATTACGCAAAGTAAGTTTGGGGTTCCTTCGCTGGACATTTTGGACATTTTTACCACTTATGAGTGGTAAGGCAAGTTAAGACATGTACGTATGGGCAGTGGGTGTATGTACGGTCCCTATTTCAAACATTTGCCTAACGACATATTCTCATAACCGATATGCAAGTAAATCTATTTGTGGGTAAACTGGTTCTTACTTTTAAGCCAATATTGATATGGATGGTTTTAAAAACTATAAGAAAATATAAAGGACTTTGGAGGCCAATCTCAGGATGTAAAATACATTATGTTTTTGTAAAAAAGTTCTCATTTTGAAGCCAATATTGATTTGGACGGTCTTAAAAACTAGAAAAAATATTTTTTTTTTTCAAAATATTCCGCGAGGGGACATTAAACTTTACTGAAGCAAAAACTGGTTTAAAATACATGCTTCATAAATAATAAGTTACTGTTTTGAAGCACGAAGAAAACCTTGCTAGATCTGGATTGAACATAACGTGTACTCATATATACAAATACTAGACAATTTCACTTTAATTCAATATCCCTTAATGATATTTTATCATTTCATCAGCCATCACTCACCTATACAAATCAACAATGGGGTTATCGATTTGCTTTCCCAACAAATCCAATAGATAACTATAGGCCGATGCGGGATCTTTAATGCCATCGGTGACGGCATCTTCACCAAATGATCGAACACCATTGCGGAAGGACAGTGTAACCGGTGTCTTACGTTTCGATTCACGATTCAAGGCAATTTCCATGGGTACACCAGGTGAGACGATGCCCACCTTCATCCACTCCGAACCCAGATCGACAGACATCACAGCAGCTGCTTCAGCGCCACGTAGGTGAGTGGCGGCAACAAAGAGGAGACAGGCAATTACTGCCATAGACCAACATGACGTGGTCTTTTTCTGCATCATGTTTTCTTTTAGAAGGCGGAGTTCAAACTTTCTCGATACCTACAAATGAAATTTTCAAATTGTTTTTATAATTCACAAAATTTAAAAAAATCAAATTTTCTTTTTTTGGATGTTAGGTTATTTTTGCCGGAAAACTTTCTCTTCTCCTCTTCAATATGTTTCTTTTTTTCTGTGTGCAATCTTTTTGTGGGTTTTGTACGAGAGAAGGGTTTTGCACACACACAATTTCTGTTTGTTTTCTTACACCCGCACGCACATACAATCTGGTCAAGTGTTCTCGATAAGAATTTCGTTCAGTTTTGTATTTTATTATTTTCGGAAAGTTTTTCTGCGGTAAATTTTCATTCAGCGATATTACCTTTTGAATTGTTTTTAAGTTTCTAGAATCCCAGGTATGAAAAAATCGTGCATCCACTGCCTGCCAACAATTCAACTGACGTGTTCCTCTGTCGGCAATTTTGATAGTTTCTTTTGTTCTGACATTCGTACAGCTGTATTCGTCGTTGGTTTGTTTACCTTCTTGTTTTTCTTTTGCCATTCACTGGGAATGGTGGGCTTAACTATAATTAAAAGCCGTTAGTTAGCAGGTGTATGTTAAAAATGGAAATATTACATTTAAGTATATTTTACTATAGATCCATAATTACTAAATCCAATATAATTTGGTCAGTAAACTCATCCGACTACTAAGTTTGCAGTCAAAATACATAATTGGGATTAAAAGTTCAAAGAATTAAAACAAGGTGAAAAATAAATATCATCGACTCGCACATTTTTGATTGTTAAAAATTATGTAAGGTTAGGAGTTTTGTAATCATAGTTTATTTTTGTGCCGAATTCCTAGATAAGGTCGACAAGAATACTACTTTGGACAACAGTTTCACAATTAACAATATGTCTTTTGACAGCAAACTTAGTTGTCAGATGGACTAACTGGCCCACATTATATAGGCCATGTTTGTGCCTTTCCCAGTTTTCTAGAAGTGTCAAAATATTATATGAAAATAAAAATCTTTTTACCCCATTTTTTGTGGGAATATAAAATTTAGGAAAATATTACTTATATAACAAAAGCCAAAACTCCAAAAAATTCTAAATAATAATTATCAATTCTGCATTTTTCTATAACTTACCATGTCAAATTTAACTTCACAAACTGATTCCCATCTATGATTTGTATGTATGTATTTATAAATAAATATTTTAACATTGAGATGTTATTAAATTTTTTTGCAAGCATGTGAGTGCATTAGGTTATCTTCTTCATTTTGCCATGGCTCCTTCATTATTTGCGGAATGGTACCACGGCACCTTTTTGCAAGGAAATAAATATTCGTCCGCAAGAATATGTTCTTCAATTGTACATTTCATTTCAGTCCGGTATTCGTTTTTTACCATTTCACACGTTTAATATATTTGAATAAAAACCTGGATCAAAATAATTTTGTTTGAAAACCTATTTTCAAAGAAAGTAACGTCTAAAATTGGCATTTTAGCTTTCAAACACAAACAAAAAAAGTCAAAAAACCATATGATTGCCAATTGAATTACACCCTGAATTAAATAAACAAAATTGTGTGCTATTCACCGTGAATGGTCATGGGTTAGCAAATTTCTCAAAATGATTAAAATTTCAGGTAACTTTTAAACCAGTACATTGATCTTTAGGAATAGACCCATGGTAGAAGAATATAGTTAGATGCACCAAAGCTTTAGAACATTGATATGTGATATAGAATTTTAAAATGTTTTTCAAATATAAGTAGATTTTAATATTTTTTATGCGAGGAGGTTATTATAATAAGCTTGTTTCACCAATTTTTAAAAATTTGATTAATTTTTCGTTCAAAAATTTTAAGTCCAAAATTGTTTTGAGAGTTCATTGTCCCTGCGCTGTGTCGATGCGCAACACATCTTCATCCATTGAAACGAACAAGATGTATTTATTAGGCAGTATCACGTTTACATTACACTAGATTTGATAAATACAAGGTGAGATGAAAAAACTGCAACAAAGTCAAACGCCATAATTTTTAATTTTTTTTCTAATTTTATTGAATGAAAACAAAAAATGTCGGTAATAGCCCCAAATTTTAAAATAAGTTTAGATTTGTTCGAATTGGTAACCTTTAGCACGAACTATGACCTTCAAACGGCCAAATGTTGCTCTGCGGTATTTTGCTGACAAAATATCATGCGATTTTATATTTTGATCAACAACAGTTTGATCATCTAACGCAAGGCTTGTTAATCTGTCGGCAAAACCGACTGATACTTTTAACTTGTTTCTAAACATTTTTCAACTAAATATTTTTAAATCCAATATTAAAAGTTCCTAATGACACCAATAAGTAAAAAATCTAAATTCGACCGTCCGAAATGTTTGTACCCTCAACCATTTTGAAAGCAACACTTTTGAAAATACATCTATATATTTCAAAATCTAGAACTCGGGCGAAACATATTTATAATCGAGTGGTATATATTTTTATTAGAAAATTACAATACCAAATTAAAAAAAAAAACAAGTAAAAAAAACATTAAGTTCGGCCGGGCCAGACTCTTAATACCCTCCACCTTAGGGTAAAGGAAACATTAGAGCCCATTATGACCCACATATACCAATTTTTAGACATATTTATGTGAAAATGTGCCAAAAATCATCAAAATACCGAATCTCGGGAGGTACCGTTATATGGGGGCTATACCAAATCGTGGACCTATACATACAATGTTTCGCCACACGAACAAAGACCCATTATGACTTACAAATACCAATTTTCAGACAAATCCGTGGAGAAATGTGACATAAATCATGAAAATACCGAATATCGGGAGGTACCGTTATATGGGGGCTATACCAAATAGTGGACCCATACATGCAATGTTTCGCCACAGGAGCTGGAACCCACTATGACCAACAAATACCAATTTTTAGAAAAATCCGTGAGAAAATGTGGAAAAAATAATCAAAATGCCGAATATCGGGAGGTATCTTTATATGGGGGCTATACCAAAGCGTGGACCTATACATTGAATGTCTCGCCACACGAACTGAGATCGTTATGACCTACAAATACCAATTTTCAGACAAATCCGTGGAAAAATGTGGCATAAATCATGAAAATACCGAATATCGGAGGTACCGTTATATGGGGACTATACCAAAACGTGGACCGATATATCTCAGTTTCAATATAAACCATCCTAGACACAATACAAATTGCTCTGCTAAATTTTGGCGCTCTACGTCAAATAATGTGGGCTGTATCGTGATTTCAACAGGCAGACAGACGGACATCGTTAAATCTACTTAGAATTTTATGCTGATTATGAATATATATACTTTATGGGGTCTACGACGAATATTTAAGGATGTTACAAACCTTTCCAAGGTGGAGGGTATAAAAATTATTGAAAATGTAATAACGTATGCAACAGGATGTTTTATTTATTTGGCACTTTTCTACTAATATTTTTTTAATAGAAAAATTAATGAAACGTTGCTGATTTTCGCAATGTAGAGTTCCTAATGTGACTTCTTTCTTCATACCACAAAAAATTATATTGGGGTATTCTGTAAATTCTGAAATGATCAAAGTACCGGCAATACCAAAACTTTTATCTATATGGACAGTTCCTTGTAATGATGTTTCTTACATACTGCGAACACAAACTTCTTTTTTACAGCAAATTCGGTTAAAAACTCAAATAACCAAGCCAGAATTCAAAAACGGTCAAAAACTTTGCCCCTTTTCAATACCAGGAAGTAAAAAAGAAGCTCAGTGCGGCCGGGCCGAACTTTTAATACCCTCCAGCATTTTGAAGGAGCTTGACATTTTTCAAAAAAACCTAGAAAATTACTTTTGGAATGAAACTCCTTATACGGGGTCTATACGATGATGTGGTCCTTCATAAGTAATTTTTTGTTATAGTCTGTAGAGCTTATTTCGAACTTCAAATACGAAATTTGAAACACTTCCGGTGAATAATGCCGCTAAAATCATAAAAGTACCGAATATTGGGAGGTACCGTTACATGGGGGCTATATGTTGTAATACCCAATACCAACTTCAACTACGAAGTTTGAAACGATTCCGGTAAGAATGTAGTTAAAATCCTCAAAATACTGTATATTTGGAGGTACCGTTAAATGAAAAAATGGGCGGACACGGGCCATTTGCGACCTTAACTTGCCTACTGGCAAAATAAAAAACGGATATTTCGAGTAGTTAAAAACGGCATTATACACTTAATATAACTTGAACAATGGTTGAAGATATGAAAATGGCGAACATGTTATAGGTCCACATAGTTTTACCTATCGATATTGAATATTTCGAGGATTTCAGTCACAATTTTAAACGAAATAAAATGTATTTGGAGATTTCAGGTTCACAAGAAGTTAAAACTACTTTTGCAAAAAGATTTGAGTACAGCTTCACTATTTGGCCTAACGTTTAGCGGTCCCTTTCGATTTCCATTTTTTAAAGGTATGGGATTTTTTCTCCTACCAAATTTTCGGAGGATTCAAAGACCTAGTCGGCACCTTCTGATGCTGAAGTTTTTAGACATAAGAAAATAGTTTGGTCCATTGTCGTTAAAAGAAAATTCAGTCCACGTTTTGACTTAAGCCCAAAAAGGGGGGTCCGGTGGATTTTTGAAGTTTTAGGGATAGTAGTCGCGGAATTGAAAACTTTTTAGGCAGAAAATAAAATGCTTAATGTAGATCCAGTTTTTGACATAGTCCTTACATAATAGTAGCCCATATAAATATATTTTTTTAAGGTTCATTGGGTTGTTCCAAAGAATCAGGACGTTATACCCGTTATTTCGTTAAGACACATTTTTGACTTATTGAACGATATGATGGTATGGCATGTCCAAATGATTTGATTTCGAAAGATGTTGATTTGTCCATTTCAAATCATTAAAAATTGGATCCAGATATTGTTAAACACCAAAAACCCTCTGAATACATATTGTTAGTTATTTACACAAAGTGACAGCTGTTTGTACTTAAAAGTGAATAAGTATGTTTGTATGTATGTAATTTCGTAAAACATTTAAAATTTACTCACATCCAGACGTAAATTTGTACATCCTCCGAAAACATACGCAGACACGTGAATGCATTTTATAACGTAAAAATGTGTATTAACATCATGTATGTTTCACAAAACCACAAATAAACGTATGTGCGTATGTACATACGTACATATGTGCAAACATGTGTGTTACAAAACAGTAACCGAAAAAATGTTTAGATGTATGAGAGAGTTTTTAGTCTGGACCGCAAACAAAAAAAGGCTAAAAACAAAAATTAACTTTTTTGGTTTTAAAAAATATGTATGTACATACATACATACATACGTGTATGTAAGTAAACAAGTGCATGTATGAACGAAATTATAGCCAGCCAGATGTAGGTATACAGTAACTGTATGTATGGATGACTGTATGTATGCATGCATGTCTGTTGGTTTGTGCTTACTTTTGTAAATATGTATCCACTTTGTTTGGGGAGTATGGTGACGACACCAAATGAAATGACTGAGTGGCTACTACACTGCTGCTTGGTATATTTGTCAAAAAAAGACAACCTTGCACTTGGTCATTGTCATCGTAGACAAAATGTTTTTTTTTGTTTAGTCAAGTGTTTTGACATTTAAAAAATTGTAATTGTTTTGAAGAACATGAATTTTGAATGTATTTTGTTTGCCACTTCTCCAAAGGCCTGTTTGTTTTTTGGTATAGCTACCACCCAAATCTAAAATATTTCTAATATAAGTTTATTGACCTTCTCTCCCATTCATTATCTTATTAGCCTGTCTTATATTTCACTGATGACTAAGCTAATGAACGGAACTGGACTTAATTATAATTATTCAAATTTTAGACGAATAAATTGCATTACTCTCCTCTGGGTGGGAAGTGCACAAAGGCAATTATTTAATTAGTGTAATTATTGATATTACTGAAAGTGAGCTTCATATAACAAAGGGACTAAAACCGAAAATGAAACACATATGTTGAATAAACGGAATGGCGAAAAAGTAGGTGAATTTAAAATGACAACGTAAATGCTGTTTAAAGGATCCTGGGAAAAATTTAGTTGATTTTGAAGAGGCATGTTAACGAGAAACACACAGGATAGATAAATTGTGTGCATGAAAATTGGAAAAAGGAATTTCTCATTACTTTCTATATAACCGTCAAGATAAAATCTGCGCAAAAAACATATATATCAATGTCTATGGTGAAAAAATCGATTTAATAAAAAGCTCCCTACTAAAAACTCAAAAAAAAGCTTCCCTGCTATGGGAATGCGTCCTTATAGTGCATTAAGAAAACAAATATTTTTCTCCGCAACTCATTTCTGAGAAATTGTAATGTGACTGCTATATTTCCCTTTTCTATCTAACTAACAACAGCCTTCGGGCCCGCGATCCGTTTGCTCCCTGCGATTCGTTTTCTTCTGCGAGCTATTCGCTTCCTGGGATTTGATCGCTTCCCGCGTCTCGTTCGCTCTTTGCGATTCGTTCGTTTTCGTCAACTAACCCGCTATCCATAGAATTTATTTTCTTTTTTTTACTTAAGGTTTGTGGGTCCTTAAGCCGACCCTGGCAACGACTAAGCGTAACTCAGCCTCTGAAAAAATTCACGCCATAAAATAAGAAGACAAAGCATGCTGGTTTTCACAACGAGGATAGGGAATAACAATATCCTTTTTTGTTTTAAGGACTTTGGTTTTTTGTAAAATACTTAGATTTCAAAATACAGGATGAGATAAAAAAACTGCAACAAAGTCAAACGCCACAATTTGTACAGTTTTTTTTTTTAATTTTATCGAATGAATGCAAAAAATGTCGGAAATAGCATCACATTTTAGAATATGTTGAGATTTGTTCGAATTGGTCAGCTTTGGCACGAATTATGGCCTTCAACAAACGGCCAATGAAACCGTCACACGCTGCCTGAATGTAGCTCTGCCATATTTCGGTTCATTCCCGGCGAACGCTTGCTTGGGGTAATCAACACTTTGGTATTTTTTAGTGCCAACCCTGTTTTCCAAAAGATTGGTATCCAGAAATTTTGGTGGTGCTGGAAATGAAGCGAGGAACCTCATTTTGTAACCATTTTTGGGTGGCGCGTGCTGAGTGCGATGGTGCTGAGTCCTGTTACAATGTTCAAAGTATGCGGCCAAAATGTTTGCGTGCCCAAGGCTTTAATACACCCTCCAGAATGTTTTCGTGATAATATTCGGCATTTATTCTGATGCCACTGTCAATTAATACGAGCGTAGAGCGATCATCGGTTGTTATGGCGGCCCACGCCATCACAATGGCCGGCACTTGAGTTCTGGTGACCAACCGAAGGTGCACATTTTCAGCTGACCTCTTTGGCAAGTAAACACGATAATTTTGTTTGTTTACAAACTGCTGGACAACGAATGTTTTCTCATTGGAGAAAACCAAATTCGGCAGTTCACCACTTTCGGCCAAGCGAAGCAACTCTATAGCTCTTTTGAGACTATTTTCTTTCTGTTGCGGTATAAGTTCTTGCAATTTTTTGAATTTCAATGGCTTTACCCCGAGCTCAATTTTCAATATTGGAATGGAATATTGCGAATGGAATATTGCGATATGTTCAGCTCACGAGCCATTTTTCGGCCACTGCGACGCGGGTTTCGATCAAGTTGTTTCTTTACTTTTCAAAATTTTTCTGCTGATGTTGATGTTTTCTTCCGTCTACTTCCTTGACGTCGGGCTACGCTACCAGTATCACGGTAATGAGCGATGGTACGAGACACAAAAGATTTATTCACATTTAAATGCTGGCCACTTGTGTTTTTCCAGCCAAATATATAGAAATCACCCTATCAGGCTTGATCACGAATAACTTTTTTTCTGGAAAATTCTCACCAAAATGCTTTTGTACGCTTGTAAACAATATATTGAGCTGTCAGTGAAATAATTTTAATAGCTTTCAGACGAGTGGCTTAGAAATGACAGCAGTCTGAATTTGGTTGCAGTTTTTTTCATCTCACCCTGCATATGTTTCATCCGATTTGGTATTTAAATTCCTCACATCCGAAAAATACACTCCACAACAATAATACTTGTGAAGCACCGGCTGTCAAATACACCATGGAAATACCTCTGCCAAATTTTGTCAAGGCCGGTTCAGATTTGGATATAACTCCCAAATATATCTCCATTCGATTTCACTTTAATTTTTTTGTAAAATATCTAATATAAGCGCAAATAGGATGGATAAATTGGGACATATGACCGAATTCAGCTTGGAAGCGAGGAGGTCAAAGCTTTCTCAAAGTAACGAGATGCAAATACAAAAACATGTTCACAACATATTTAATATAAGCTCAAATAGCATGGATTTGACACATATGACCGAATTCAGCCTGGAATCGAGGAGGTCAAAGCTTTTTCAAATTCAGGAGATGCAAAGACTTCCGAAAATTTAGTGGAAATTATGTTAGAGTACGATTCAGAGTAGGATATACCTCCATATATTAGTTCGATTTCAAATTATAACTTTTTTAAAGCATTCCACACATTCCAAAACGATCATAGCTTGTATGACCAACTGCACATAAATTGCCAACACAAACGTGGTCGCATCTTACACTCCCATATTCTACAAATGTTTTTTTTTTTATTTTTTAATTTTGTTTTAAAATTTTATTTGAAATTGGGAATTTATTGGTGTTACCACAAGTAAAACAATTTCAAATGAGTTGAAATCAAAAAATTACAAAAACTTCTCGCAAATAAACGAAAGTTCTCAAAATTTTTACTTTTGTTTACCGAAGCGAAGTTTCGAACTCAACAAGTAATTTATTTGTTTTTTTTTTTTGTTTTTGGCCCACACAGCTGCCAAGTTTTTGAAAATATTTTTTCTATCCCCATCATCCCATTCATATTTTATTCCCCCCTTCTTTCCTCCCCTTTTCCCACCAGCCATGAAAAATAAAAAGAGTGCAATATTTTTTTTTTCAATAATTTTTAATACTTTTATTAATTTTTTTTGGTTTTTTTAATGCAGAATTCTTGTCTCTGGTTGTTGTATTTGTAAATATTATTTGTTTGTTGGTTTGTTTTGTATTTGTATAATTATAATTAATTAATAATAATAATAATGATAAAAATTAATTAAACATTATGCAGTTTGTTTGTTTTGACATGATGTTTTTTTGTTTCTTTATACACTATATAATCAAAAAATAACTATATTTTCATTGTAATAATTTTGTTTTGTAATAATAATTTCTAATAATAAATTGTGGAAAAAATAATGCTTAAGGGTTACATTATTTTGGAAAAAACGAAACGAAAGAAAAATAATGTCTTGAGAGAAGGGTTGAGTGTGGGTGGTGTTTGGAAAATAAACAAAACAAAATTAAAATTCTTTTTATACACAATTTTTTGTTATTGTTGTTAATGTTAGTATAGTTGGTTTGTTTTTTTTATTATACTTAATGTTTGATTATTTTTGTTTTGTTTTTTGTTACGTGTTATGATACAAATGGGGAAGGAGGTTGTTTTTGTTCTTTGTTTAATTTGTTTTTTTTTGGAAAAGTAAAGAAAAGAAAAGAGATTAAGTTTAATTTTTAAATCAAATTTATTTGAAGATTTCTTTTTTTAATATTTTTTTTGTTGTTTTTTTTTTTAATAAGGCAGCAACGTAAATTAACTAAAAAATCAATTATATAAATTTCTTTAGATTTTCTTTTTGTAACAATAAATTTAAGAAAAACAAAAGTGTTCAATTTAAAAGTGAAATTTTAAATTTTGTTTTATTTCAAATGAAAAAAAGCCAAAATATAAACAAAAACAAATTATAAAGCCAAACAGAAAAAAATTTGTTTATGTTGTGTTTAGTTTAAAGCATGTAAGTATGTGTATGTGTAAATGTTATGTACTTGTTGTTTTTGTTTTTTTTTTATTTTTTTTTTCATTTTAAGTTAATATAATGTAAATTTTATACTACTATTTTGTTGTTAATTCTTAGTTGTTGTGTTGCTATGTCAATCAATATATATTTATGTATATTTGTTTGTTTGTGTCCAAAGTTTGGGTCCCCTTTTGAACCACAATCGAACTTCCAAATTGGCACAGCTTTGTATTAGCCAAAGCTCTCTGTTTGGGGTTTTTGTTTTTTTGATTTCTTTTACCCCGGAGTCCAATTGTTGTTTATAATTGGACCATTAAGATTTGTTTTTTTTTTTTTTTAATTTTTGGGGGTTTTTTGTTATGAGTTTTGTATGCCTTAAAATTATTAACTTAAATTACTATCACAGCCATATTTTGAAAATAAACAATTTCTAAATTCTTAATAAATTACTACAAATGTTCCAAAAATTGTATTTTTTCTCTTTGTTGTTGTTGTCATTGTTTTATGTTTTTTTTTTGTTTTAATTATTGGTTTCCTTTCTTGTTGTTGTTTTTGTGTTGGTTTTCCATTCAAATATATATGTATGTTGATTTTGTTTTCCATTAAATTTGCAACAAAAAATTGTATGTTTGAGGCTTTTAATTGTTACATTTACTTGAATTTTACTCCAAATACTAATTGCACTTTTTTCAAACAAAAAAATGAAATAATTTTAAGGTTTTCTTGTTTATTTTTCTTATTTTGAAATACTGTTTTCTTTTTGTGTTTTTTGAGTAATGGGGGGGGGGGGGGGGGGGGGTTGTTGTCTACGTTTTTTGTTGGTATTTTCTTTGAGAAATTTTTGAAAAATGCATGGCATTGTAGAACCAGTTTTGGTTAGGGTTTGTTCTTTATTGGGGTTTATGTTCCAAATTGGGGGTTTTGAAATCATTTGAGTTGCTTTTTTTTAATATTTTCTGAGGGTTTTCAAATTCACTAGCCCATGACTATGTATGGTCCTAAATTTGACATTTTTCACATCCCCAATTCTTTGCATATATCTGAGGAATTCAAATTACCAGTCCAGTCCTAAATTTGGCAATTTGCATATGATTTTATATCCCAGAAAGGGATAAGATGTCAAATTTGGGGAAGGTAGAAAAAATTTTAAATTTTAAAAAATGACTCTTTATAATTTATGTGATTCTTATCCCAAAATCTTGGAACTTATTAACTGTTTTTTTTTTGTTAAGAAAATACAACTTTGTAAATACTGCAGCCTTTCCATGTCAAGCCAGTGACATTATGCTTAGCTGGGTTGGCAAATGCTTTTGAAGAAAAAGTGAAACCTTTGTCATATGATTTTTTGTTTTAAATATTATTTCTTCTAGTTGTTGAGTGTGTATGTGTGAGTGTTTGAAATTATGAACTATTGTAGATGTTGTTGTTATTGTGTGAATGTAGTTTTTAGAGGTGAGTTAAGGTGACTAGGAAACTGTTTTGTATAGTAGTTGTGTGTGTGATTTCCTTTTGTTTGTAGAAAGCTTTTGTTTTTTTTTTGTTGTTGTTTTTTGGTGGAACTTAAAGAAGAAAATCAGTGTCCTTATTACAGTTTCTTGAGAGTATTTTTTTTGCTTTTGTTGGTTTTACAGCGGGTTTCGGTTTAGAAAATTGTTTAATTTTCACAATTTTTAGTTTTCTGGTTTTTATAGTTTGTTTTCTTGTTGTTGTTGTGTTTTGACTATAAATTCTTTGATTATTAGTAAAAGTATTTTTGTTGTTGTTGTTGTTGTGGTTGTTAGCAAATCTTAATATTTAAAGCATATTCAATTAATATTTTTTTGTTTTTTTTTTTTTAAGTTTAGCTCTGTTTTTTGTTTTTTTTTTTTTTTAACTAAAATTAATAGCTTATACAAGTACGAATGTCTCTGTACATACATACAAAGTATATAATGCAGTATTTTTTTCATTTTTGTTTTTTTTTTTCTTTTTATATATAGAATAAAGTATTGGGTTTGTTTGTTTTTGCTATATATATATATATAAAAATGTCAAGCGTTTAAGTATATAAATTTTTAAGCTGATAATTTTTCACTACAAATCTTATTGGTAATCATCATAATAATATAGCTATATTTTTGTTGTTTAATAATTTTTTTCCCTTAATTAAATTTTAATTTTTAAGTTTTGTGTTGTTTTTTTTTTAATACAAACATAAAGAGAATGTACAATTGATTTTGGTGGTGGTGATGATGTTTTTTTTGGGGTATTAGGAATTTACCCATTTCATGGTTTTTACAACTTAATAACAACAAATAAAAAAAAAATAACTTAGAAATACCAAAATTTTCTTAGTTCTTTAATTTAGGCTAACCTCAATAAATTGGCCATTAAATTAACTACAATGTGGAGAAGGAGGAAGATTTTTCTTCATTAAAAAAGGAAAGGACAAGCTGCAATTTTGGCAAATTGTATTTGCCCTGCAAGCTGCTGGTGCTGCTGGATTGCTCTCTCTCTCTCTCTCTCTTAGCTTCAAATGAGTTAATTTCTTGCTTACTGGAACTTTCATGTCTCCAAGGAGGTAACCACCAAATTATGAAACACATTGGCCGATTCACTCATCATGGCCGCCTGGCCGCAACTGTCACTGCCCACACTGGGCGTGGGACTGGGCGAACCCAGACGCAGGGCATCCATAATATCATAGATATCCTTTTGATTCTGATTCATGTCAAATTCCAAATCCAAATCATTGCTGGTTTTCGGTCGTTTCGGCGAGAGGCTACCCACATTTACCATATCCAAGGGGCAATCATCGATGGCCGATATTAAACGTTGAGGTGGTATATAGAACTGTGTTAGGGCCTCGCGCACCAAACGATCACTTTCATCTTCGCTGCGTTGTCGTTTGCGCGATGACAAAGCCTTTTCCAATTGCTCGGCACCTTGGGTTATTTCGGGATCAATCATGGGCATGGGTGAATTGATGGCACTCAATTCACGATCCAATATTTCGAGATCTTTGTCAATGTTACTGGAGGATAGGCAACGTTTACGTGGCTGTGATTGGTGATGATTTGGATTTGCGGAATTATTGGCAGCGGCGGCTGAAGCATTTTGCGACGGTGTATAATGTGAGTTCAATGGATTGTTTTCCTGGAGATTCCCTATTGTTGTCGTATCAGCGGAATGATGAGAGGACGAGCTGTTCGATGAATGTTGTTGTTGTTGTTGGCTGCTATTGGCTAATGGCGATGTTGATGATGACGACGACGACGATGATGATGAGTTTCCTGATGTGGGTGTCAGCGACAGTGACAAGGCAAATGAGTTTTCATTCTTTTGCATGGAATTGTGTTGAGAGCTGTTTTCATTTTGCTGAATTTTATTGGATGGCTGATCAAGACTGCAACTGTTGTAGGGATTGAAAATGTTATCACGGGCCGATTCGGGTTTGTTTTCAGTTCTGCAAAAAAAAATGAAGAGACAAATGTGGATTAATACTAGGATCCAGTATAAATAAATGAGATATAAATTTGACAACAACAAAAATTCCTCACAAAACGCCATAAACCATGTTTTCAATGTTTAAGAATCATTTTTATGAAAAATGTTCTTAAATTAAGAAAAAATATGAACAAGGTTTTATTTATGAATTATAAAGAGAATAATTTCTTAGAAATAATTTTTTCAGGTTCGAATTTTAAATAAAATCTGTAAATATTTTGAAATCGAAATATTTGTCAGAATTGGTTCATAGAAATTATGAACAAATTCATTAAATTAAGAACATTTATTTTCAAAATGATCTATAAAGTTGGAAAATATTTTTTTAGCGAATAATTTGAAATTTTTATCAAATTAATAAAAATTTTGATTTTGAAATATATTTGAGAACCTGTGCATACAATTTATGAATAAATTCATGAGATTATGAATATAATTCCTAAATTTTTGTTTTATTTATTTTTTTTTTGAGTACTTAGGAATTGAAACTTTCCTGTCAAAATGCCTCAGTTTTTATGAATTATGTTTATGAACAAGTTACTTAAATGTAGAAAAAAAAATCTTAATATAATTATGAAAAAGTTTTTTTTTTAATTTAAAGAATATTTTTTACATCCAAAATGTTGGGAAATAATCATTGCAGTAAATTAATTTGAATTTCAATCAAAATAGTAAATATTTTGAATTCAATGCATTTGTGAATATATGTTCATAAAATTTATGAACAAATTCATACAATTTAGGAACTATTTTCTTAAATTTGGAATTTTTTGAATATTAAGAAATGAAACTATTCCTTTAAAAATTCCTTCAAAAAATTTCTCCCGGATTTGTGAAATAAATTTTATGAAAAATGTTCATTCAATTAAGAAATTTTTTCTTCCTCATATGAATTGGAAATGTAATACTTTGATAGAGCAAAAAAATGTTCTTAAATCCACAATATTTGGTCATAAATTCAATGAAATTTTTTCATTTGTAATACTTGTGAGCTTCTGTTGTTAAAATTTAGGTAAAAGTTCATTAATTGCAGGAACTTTTTATTAAAATTTACAGATCTTCAAGTTTTCTCCTGTAACTATTGCCATTACCTCTATTGTTTAAAGTTAGTTTTGTAAAAATAGGTCAAGTATATTTTCACAAAAAAAAAAAAAATATATATATTTCTCTTATCCATGGAATATTATTTAAAATTTTTTTTGTTATTTGAAATGCCATAAAGAAATGCTTTAAATTTCCAAGTTTTTTCCCCACTTTTCTTTTGCTATGTACTTGAGTGAGGAAAAAAAACGGATAAATGAAGACAGGTTAATAATGTGTAATGAATGAAAGAAAAAACGAAAAAAAGAGAAAAAAAACCTTCCACGCTCAACTGGTGGCAGGCAAAGGAGAAAAAATGGAAAAAACGATTGCAGACATTGAAGTAATCATGTTGTAACTAAAATATTAGCCTTGGTTGGCTGCTAAGAGCAGTAGCAGCAGTAAGAGTGTAATGCCTTTTTGAAAATCTAGGCTATTAGCCGCCAGTGGTCATTCAGGCAGCCCAAGTGTTAAAAAAACAAAACAGAAATAAACGAAATAACTCCTCATGATTACAGCTCTGGATAAATACCACATAATTTACAACAAATGTTAACCTAACTATAACGGTAATGATAATGACCATTCAGCTGTAAGACACTACTCTGGCTACTGGAAAGCCAAAACACTTGTCATTTTCATAAGAATGGAGCAACAAAACAGAGAAACAAGGAAGGTAATGGATGGAAATTTTAGGAGAGGGGGAGAGGGTTGGTTCCGAGGAGGAAGAAAATTGAAGTTCAAGATGGAAGAAAAAAACGTTGGTTGGTGAGAGAGAAGGTAATAAAAAAGAACGTTCGGTTGTTTTGCTAAGATAATTTTTTTAATTTTTGAAAATTTCTAAACTCCAACAATTTTGGGAAAATTGTAAATTTTAACAAAATAAAAAATTTTGTTTTTTAGACATCCAACCCAATGTATATAAGGTCCGTTGTGTGGCTAATTGACTTCCTTTGAAACTCAAATCGCAATTATGTCTTTTGACCGGCTGACCTTATATAGGCCATGATCAAACCATTGAAAATTTCTAATTTCACAAAAAAAAAAAACATTTCTTAGAAATGTCGGGATGGGAAATTGAATTTCCCTTTGTGGAAAATTTTGAATTTCGTTTGTTTTCGACCATATAAGGAAGATATTTTACGCTTTAGCAACCCCTCATCAATGACTAGGCTAGATGTTTATCATCGCTGTGACCCAATTGTGAGACCAATTAAACATCACAGGGCGTTAAACGCACATTCTTTTCTTTTCAAAAAAATAGAGAAATCAAGTAGTGTAAATTAATTTCAAAACACATTCCCATTAATTTTCGGGCGTTTACTCTTCTTTTACATTTATCTTTTGGGATGAGGGGGGGCATCATCAATTCGACGACAACGGCGAAGCTTGCCGGCCATCAGATATTATTAAACCGGAAATAATAACAGAAGAAAAAAACCGAAAGCAAAAACTACAAAAAATTGTCAGAATTTCCAAAACTTGTTGTTGCTTTGTGTTTGGGTGTGCGTGCGTGTGTGCGATGGCTCTTTAGCCTTACATTGGCTATTGGCTCCCAGACGCAAAAAGCAAAAACACAACCATTGCCGTTTATTGTGCCACAACGGCAGCAAACAAGTGCGTAGTGGAGTGGAGCTATACGTCTGCTGCTTGTTGTTTGTTGCTTCTGTTGTCTACTTTTTGTACTGTTGTTGTTATTGTTGTTGGCTGGAGATGAACGGTTGGTTTTTAATTTCTAAAAAAATTTCGTATTTCGCAGTTTTGTTGTTGGCTGGTTGGTTGGTTGAGAAAGCGAAAGTAATTGTTGTTGTATTTTGTTTATATTTTTTTTCTTGAGCACACGCACACTTTTAAATATTATTGGTGTTTTTTTCATAAACGTTATTTGTTTGTTTGGTAATGAAAACAGCAAAAGCAATAATAACAACAACACCAACAACTACCTCATACAGTAATATTTTGGCTTATCACTTGGAAGAAAAAAAAAAAAACAAAAACTCAAAAGACAGCAAAAGCTTTTTTTCCAATGGCAGCAAATTTTCACTTAAAGCCGCTGCCATATTACCTCTCTCTCTCTGTCTTATTAAACGACCGTTAGTCTGACCGTCATATATAACATGTTTTTTTAGTGGCGTTGTATTTCTTTGCCAATATTGAGTAGCCCCACCGATACACAAACACATGCATATGTCTGAATGAGTGCAGCTGTGAGTTGAATATGAAATTAAGCCTAGCATAAGTCTTTCTTTTTTCGTTGTTTTCTTTATAACCCAAAGTGCAAAAGATGTGATGTATTTATTACTGACAGGGAAAAGAAACGGTAGAATGTAGAAATGTTTTCCGAAATAAACAAAATAATTATAAAGAAAATCAGAAAAAAAGGATTTTTTAAAAATTAAAAAAAATATTTTTTTTTAATTTTTGAAAAAAATATATATATTTATTTTTCTAAAAAAAATAAAAATATATATATTAATTTTTCTAAAAAAAATAAAAACAAATTAGAAAATATTTGTTTTTAATTATTTAGACAAATTAATATTCATTCAGAAAAAATATATTTTTTAATTAAAAAAAAAAAAAAATATTCCGCTCCTTGCCTGAAGCCCTAATTGCACTATTTAGCCACTCATCCATTCATCCACCTAGCCAGCTAACCAACCATCCACAGTCCAGACCAGCTCCATCGAATATAATAAACAATCAAAATTCAATGTCGTTTATTGACTTGTATAACCAAATAAGACAATGACAATAGAGCGAGCAAAACAGCGTAAGGTAACAACAACAACAAGAAGCATACAAAACCGCAAACAAAAACAAATATTCAAAATAACAAAGTGATAAAAAAATTAACTTTTAATCATTGTTTAACGTTTTTGGTTGAGATAATTTAATAGGTTTTTGTTTGCGTTGTTTTTGTTGGGTTCGTTTGTACGTTCGTTAGCTTTTGAAGAAGACTTGCCTTATTTGGAGTAAGTAAGCATGTGAGTTGGTATGTGTGTGTCTGTGGTATTTTTCTGGTTGCTATTTTTTTTCCTACAACGCCAAACATCTGGTTATACTTTTTGGCTGATGTTGCTGCTGCTACTCATTCATATGGACAATTAAGTGAGAAGAGAGCGAAAAAATAAAAAAACATGTTGCTTGCTCTCACGGCTAGTTTTCTTTCACAAGTTTTGCTCCCAATTTAAACAAATTATGCTATTGTTGTGGATTTTTATTTAAACAATTTTGTTTTTTTTTTTGTGAATTTACTCCATATTGGGTAAACGCGTGCTAAATAGAACCTTGACTTGTTTAACAAAAAAAACTTGTGTGTTACCTTCTCCCACTTGATAAGGTTGTTGGCATATATTTTCGTTTTTGTTGTGTGTTTTTTGGGAAATAATAGCTAGGTATTTGACGTATGTAAGTATTTGTATCAAAACAACGAAATAAAGCCATAAAAAATTGTCAAGATATTCAGACAATCACACACATCTATACATTATATAACACCCCAGAATAATGGTTAATGAACTTAAAAGTACCTGATGCGTTATTTATAGGGAATCTGGGATGTCAATGAATGACTGCTGCATGTAAACAAACCTTAAAAAAGACGTTGGCCTTTTTTTGGGTTAATGGCCTGATAAGAATCTAGATTTTGGAGATTAAATGTAAAATATTTGAAAAAAAAATCAAGGGAATTAAACCTTATAAACATATCTTATCAAAAAATCTTCATTTAATACCTGGCCTTGCCATCCTACCCCAATTATTTATTATAAATAGGTCACTAATTTATTTTCCTCTCTACTCTACTTTCAGTTGTGAATTGTCAAAAAAAAAAAAAAAGCCCACACATCATCACTGACAGGTAAGACTAAATAAAAG